GCCGCGCGCAAAGCCAGTGATCTCGTGGATCCGCTGAGCCCACATGTCCGTGCTGGAGGAGGAGAGGGTGAAGGTGCTCTTCTGCACACTGATCAGCTGGCCGGTAACCGAGCTATAGTGCTCTAGAAGGTGCATAAGCTCACTCAGCCCATCATCATCCGCCCTGGTGAAGATGATGATGTCATCCGCATAAAAAAGATGCGAGATGAGAGGACCATAGCCACGAGTGCTGTAAGTCATCCGTGGATATTCGCGGATGAAGCTGTCGAGGCAGCGAGAGAGGTAGTCCGCCGCAAGAACGAAAATGGATGGGGAAAGGGGGTCTCCCTGTCTAAGGCCTCTAGAGGAGGGAAAAAATCGGGTGGGCTACCATTAATCAGGACCGACAACGTGCAGTGCTCCACACACGCCTCTACAAAACTGATCCACCGCTCAGGAAATCCCATCCCATCCAGTACTCCCTAAGAAACGACCACTCCACCCTATCATACGGTCTGTAGTTGCTAGGTTAGTTGTCTGTAGTTGCTAGGTTAGTAGTTGCTAGGTTAGTTCTCTGTAGTTGCTAGGTTAGTTCTCTGTAGTTGCTAAGTAAGTTAGTTCTCTGTAGTTGCTAAGTTAGTAGTTGCTAGGTTAGTTATCTGTAGTTGCTAGGTTAGTTGTAGCTAAGTTAGTTCTCTGTAGTTGCTAGGTCAGAAGTTGCTAAGAGTTGTCCGCATTTTAAGAGCTGCCATCATTTGATCCGCCCCATATATATATATATATATATATATATATATATACATATTATATAATATATTATATATTATATATTATTATCTATAATATATTATTATAACTAATAATAACAATAATTCAGGAAGCTAATAATACATAGTCTGAATATGCTCAATATATATATATATATATATATATATATATATTTGTATTTGACTATTTGCTTATAATTTTCAACTGTGATTACATTTTTAATATACTATTTTGACACTTTTTTTAATAACACTTTATTTTCCTATATTAAATGATTAGGGTTTAATTAAACTAAACGCATGAGTTAAAACTAAATTAGGTAAGATCAGTTTTAGTTTAGTTAGAAGAATACATGAGGCATTCATAGTAAAAGGGATAAATTAAACTCACCAATTATTTATGAATTTCTCTAAATACAAAGACCGAGCATGTATAATTTATATAATTTATAATATAATATTTGTCCATCTTATTATGTAAGTTAAGTATGCAATTTATTATATTTGTATGAAATTTATCATGTAATTTTATATTTCATATATATTAAATCAAATGAGTGATGTCATTAAAAGTTACAGTCCCCCTTTTTCTTAAATTCGCCCCTATTCAACTTGGTAGGAAATTTTAAAATATAAAATAATTTTCTTACTTTTATTTGAATTTCATAAACACTAATTTAAATAAAAATTTCAACGGAAAAAGTTGGATTCTATTAGAGCGATTCATTGAGACCAATTAATTCAATAATGACTAGATCGATTAATTCAGTATTGACTAGATTGATTAATTCAGTATGACTAGACCGATTTTTGTGACAAGATTGTTTGACACTTTTCTCAGAGTTTTATGATTCTTGTGAACATTAGAGTTGGAAAAACATTTCAGCACATGTTTAATTTAAGGGACTAAGTAGTATTGAAGAAGTCCTGTTGTTGACTTAATTTCATTTTCTAATAGACTTGTATTTATATAAGTCGAATCAATTTTATCAGGCTTGAGATTATCATGTTAGTGTCATAGTTAAATTCAAACTCAAAGCAATAATTAAACCATTAATACTATATTATGCCTCAACTTTAATTGATTCAACAAACATCTTAAAACACTTAAAAATATTTGATTACTCAACATTAATGTCATCACCAAATGTGCGCTCATTTTTTTTTTTTTTTTTCCGAAACGATAAATTTCATTACTAGAACACATAGTTACATCCGGCTCAATAGCCGAATGGGGGAGGCCTACTAAAGGTTTCCTAGAAGCCACAATACAACACTAGAAACACACAAAATACTCCTCAACATGAGAATACTGTTGGAACCCACGAGGATCTCGATATGCACAAATCACAGACAAACATTCAACATAAACCTATGCGCAGCGGATCTAAAGGTTTGATGAAGAAAACTTACTGCTTAAAATTTATGTAGATCTGGCTGGCCCGGACAGTTGACCGCAAATCAAATCTTCTCGGAATCGAACAAACTTGACCAATCCGGAAAGCTGACGTCACGGCGAAGTCAACGGCGTTGACCGATCGGAAAACGGAGGCTTCACGCGCTCTCACGCGCGCGAGTGATCGACCAGTAGCTGCTCCTCTCGGTGGCGCGTGGCGGCGCGTGCGGCGTCAGACGGCGGCGATCTCGACGGCGATCT